AGGCATGATCCTACCTTCACACACTGGCGGGGAACCTGTCCAGTGTCCGGATGGAGTACAATCCAATCTTTCTGGTCCAGATAAAGAGAATCCCGCATTACAGGTGAATTGGCATGTAGACTTAAGACTGGAATCTCCCAGAGGTTGAACACAGGTCATTGTCCCATTCCGAGGGCTTAGCAGTGGTGTGCAGGCAACGGCTACCGTGAACATGACAGAGGAGGAGAGAAGAGGTTGTTTTAGAACTCGGCAACCTGAAACGTGTGTGTGTGTCTGTGTGTGTGTGTCTGTGTGTGTGTGTTGGTGTGTCCGCATCCTTACTACAAGGGCAGTCTTCGTTAGAAACAGTCTTTTGCATTTGGTGGCACTTTATCAGCAGTTAGAGGTCATGTAACATAGTAGCAGCTTATAGTTGATTGATATCCTGAAACGCTCACCCTCAAAGAGCTTTCGAGGTGATTTTAAAAGGGAGCTGGTGCTTTGGAAGATAGCGAGGCAGCTCATTTCAGGCGCCTCTGTGCAGGAGTGGGAGTGGCCGCTTCCTTAATACTTTCTGCTTTAGAAACAGACCTGATGACCTCACCAGAAAATGATGACAAGAGATTGGAAATAGGAAAATGGAGTAAAAGACTCCTCCTCCAAACTTCCATTCCCCAACTATCCCGCTTGGGGGTGTCTCACAGCGAGGAGGTGGTGGGAGACTCTGGACCCGGAGCCTGGCTCCGTTACACACTAGCAGTGTGTTCCCCGACAATGAGTTCTCTGAGCCTCCGTTGCTTTATCTATGAAATTGGAAGAATAATAATCCTTGCCTTGAAGGGATCCTTAGTTATAGAAAAATAATTTTTCAAAATTAAATCATATAAAAATGAAATTTAAAATATTTTTAAAATCATGGACACAAAGTAGGCACTTAATGTAAATGGCCATCTGCAAATGCTCGCCCCACCAGGCTCACCTTACAGTGACCAGCCTCAAATGACACAGCTCTTTACCACAGTTTATACATGTAGAGTTTGAGGTCCTAGGGGACTTGCTTGGGTTGGAGATCATGCTCTGTGACTTTTGGCAAGTCATTTAACCTGTCTGAGTGCCAATATCTTTACTTTTAAAATGTGGAGAATAACATACATAGCTCCCAGGATTTTTGCAAGGGTCCATCTGCTAATTAATGAAATGATAAAGCCCAGATTAAATGTTGTCCCCCAAAAAAGAAGACTAAGAACATATGGTTTAGGGTATTGCCTCTTCACTGACCTGACTGAGCAGTGCATGGCTTTAGACCAGAAACAATGGCACTTGAACTGCTGGAGGTTTCGAGAGCATTCTTTGTACCTTTCTCTTCCCTTCCTCACTTCCATCTCCAACTACATCCCCCCTAAACTGATCAACTTGTCCAAGGACCTAGTTATTTTCTGCCACTCAAAAAGTCGTTTTGTATTCAGTGTGTATGTGCGTGTATGGCGGGTGAAGGGAAAGGAGACAAGTCAAGAATCCTATAATCCATGAGGACAAATTGGGAGGGTCTTGGTGGCCTTGCCTTCTGATAGCTGGGATGGGTACACCGGGGTGGGAGGGGCATTAAAAAGGGAAATCGATATCACTCTCTCAGAAGTATTACGACAGCTAGTGGATTGCAAGCCTCCTGGTCCCTTCCTGCCCAGCCCACATGTGGGTATTTCACTCGATGCTCACCCAGCAACAGGAGGAGAAAGTTCAGTCAGAGTAAACAAAGAACTAAAAGCAGAAGGGAACTGGGAGGTCACAGGAAGCCGCGGTGCATGCCAACCTCGCTGTGAGACACCGCCAGGCAGGACGGTATGGGCAACGAGTGGTAATCTGTGCCCTGCACAGCCCAGGGTTGCCCCAAGCTCTGACCGCCACGCTAACCCTCCTCAGGGACCCCGGGCTCTTCTCCAAAGCCGCGTGGACTTTGTAACACGTCCTGACTTCAGTGCAGCCAGGTCGAGAGCTGAGGGTCACAAGCCTCACCCTGGTCTCTGCAGACCCGCTCAGAAGGTGTACCCAAGCCCAGTGCCAGCGGTTGGCCATGCTCTCTCTGCCTGGGGATGAAGGACAACCAATGCTACAGAGTTTGTTCATTCACTCATTCACTCATTCACTCATTCACTGCTGACCTAACTTAACAGTGTCGTGTGTGTGCACGCACACTTGTGTGTGACCTGAATAGCAAGTGGTTTCCTCTCCATTAGTAACATAGACCTGCCTGCTTTCACTTAGACACCAAAACCTGTACAAAGTGAAAGGTGCATAATGCAGAATTAGCTAGTATTTTACCTATTTAATTTTATTATTAAAGTTGCATAAGCTCATTGCATGGAGGGAAAAGCGGATGGGAAAACACTGGAAGAATTCGTACAAGAATGCTAAGTGTCTATTTTATGGGGGAGGTGTTCAAGAGGACTTTCTTTCCTGTGGAGATCTCATTAGTTTTATTGTAATACTATGTACATGCTAATTTAGTCACCAGGAAGGGGACTGAGGAGACAATCTCCACGTTGTGTAGCAGGAACTGTGAAGGGCAAATGGTTTTGTATTGTTCCTTTATCTTCTTATTTTTCTGTAGCTTTTTAAAATGAAAATCTTGCTTTTTAAAAGCAGTATTTGGTATAAATATAATTTAAAAATTGAATACATTGAGTGGGAAAAGGAGGGGAGGATAAGAAGCATACCTCTGCCCTTCAGTTCCCACACACGGATAATTAGAACCAGTTGCGTTTCATACGATAGTGACAGGACACACTGGTTTTGTTTTATATCAAGTATGATGCAGATGTACACACTTATGCTGAATACGCACTATTTTTATTCTGAAAATTTTGTGACCTTGCGTTTATAGATTAGTTTCTCCCATTTTTCATCACTTTTCATCCTGGGGCCGTTTCTCCCATCTTGCACAAGTTCGGAGGATGTTTGCAGTAGGCCCCTGCAAACCCCGCCCCCAGCCCACCATCACACCCATGAGTTGCCCCCATTCCACCTGGACACTCCGTGGTTCTAGGGTAAAGTGCCAGGTCAGCTGTGGGACAACCCTCCTCATGCTGTTTTGTCCTCTGGACTTCTCTCCACATGCTGTTTTTAGCCAGGCAAGAGCAGTTCGCCTGGTTCCTGACGGACCTGCAGGTCCTGCTAATGGCCCCGGTAATTGTGGGTAGGGGCCATTCCCATTGCCTGTCGCCAGACATCCTGCCCCGGTGTCAGCTGCCTAGTCCCTGAAGTCATCTGCATTCAGAATCACTGGGTTACAGCAGGAAAGCGTTTATTAATTTTCCAGTCAGTTTCAAGTTTCTGACTGCTCGGTAGTTACCTCCTCTAAAATTACAGCCGGGGAAAGCCCCACCCACAAAGAATCTCACCTTGGCATTCTGGAGCAGCGGCGCTCCAGTTCCCGGCAGCCAGACATCGTAGCTCGCCTGCTCCCACCAGGACTAAGCCCTCGTCACAGGTGAAGCTGCAGGTAGACTGGTATCTGGAGGCACCAAAGGGGCCGAAGCAGTGCACTTGGGCCCCTTTTGGAGCTGGAGGATCCTGGCAGTGCAAAGCTAAGGGAGAAGAAGGAAGGAAGAAAGGGGGTGAGCAAGCAGTCATACGGGGGTGCTCGTTGATTTCGACCCCTTAACCCGCTCTGATGCCAAGAGCAGGGGTTTCTGATTTGAGCACATTTAACCTGGAAGTTGAGAAAAGTGTCATTTAATCACAATGACACGAGAAGGATTTTCTGACAAAAATGCTGAGAGCCATTGTTAAGCGTTTTGGCAATATATATATCAGCAATTTTTAAAGTATCATTCTTTTGGATTCAAGAATCTATGCAAAGTATGTAATCAGATGCATATCAAAAATCAGTTCGGAGATTTTTTTTTAATCAAGACATTATTTGTAAGAGCAAAATATTGAAAACAAATGCTATTAATCACAGGCTAAAAATAAATTATGGCAGATCCATGAAAGGAATATTAAAGGTCACTAAAAATGTTATGTTTTACCTTGAAAAGATATGAGAGGTGTCTTATTGTAAATTGTTGAGTGAAAAAGCAGAATATAAATTGTATGATCTCATATACCATGATCTCAATCATATGAAATGGATGGTCCTAAATGGAGACAACACATGGAATCTATATATGTAAGGTCTTTTCTTTAAAATGGGAGCAATGATTATAACTGCCTCGCAGAGTTAGATTAAGTGTGATCTGCTGCGATTATTAGTAGCAGTGGCGGTGATAGGTGGTATTGACATCGTTAAAGCCATGCGTCAGATGCAGACACTGACTCTCCGAGTGGAAAACACTAGGGAGGGTCCCCCAGGGACTTAGCAAGAACATGTCTCTTGGGCTTAATGGCCACACATTCACCTCTTCTGGGTGGTCAGCTGCTTACCCACCCGGAGACTAGAGCGGATCCAGGGATCCCTTTGGGTCCCTCCCTTTTAAGCATGTCACAGGCTCTCCGTGTCTTTGTCTCTCAGATGATACATCCACGGTACGTCCCATTACGCTCTCTAAGCCTCCCTATCACAGTGCATGGTTGTCTGTTCCTCCACAGCCTCATTTTTCCCCAATTTTTTTATTGTGGGAAAATACACATGACATATAATTTACCGTTCACTGCTTATTCATTTTTAAGTGCACAGTTCGGTGGCATTAAGTACATTCACATCGTTATGCAGCCATCACCACCATCATCTCCAGGACATTTTTCATCATCTCAAAAGGAACCTCCATTCTCAATAACTACGCACCCCCGTCGTCCCAGCCCCTGGCCAGCCACCCAGCTACTTTCCGTCTCTGCGGTTCTGTCTGCTCTAAGTGCCAGTGGAATCATACAGCATTCGCTTCCTGTGACTGTCTTATATCACTTAGCATAATGTCTTCAAGGCTCACCCATGTTGTGGCACGTCTCAGAATTTTCTTCCTTTTTAAGACTGAGTAATATTCCATTGTATATATATATATATACCATATCTTGCTCATCCATTCATTTCTTGATGGACACTTTCGTTGCATCCACATTTTAACTAGTCTGAATAATGTGTTACAAACATGGGTGTACAAATTTCTCTCCAAGACCCTGCTTTCGACCACTGCCTCATTGTTAAATCAGGATAGACTTAGACTCAGGGGATTCACATAAATTGCCGAGGGATCCCAGTAAATGGCAGCAAAAAAATGCCAACATCGCACTTCTGGGACATGATTTCTGTGCGGGGTACCCCTTGTGAAAAAAAAGTAACCCTAGTGACCTCCCTATGCTTATTTCTCATATAAAAGCAAAAAATTGAAAACATGAGATATTGAAAGATCATTCTGTAAAACCAGATCACGGACACATGATTCATGCGGTAGTGCTGTCATCCTTGTGATGTCTACATTCGTAAAGCTCCCAGCAGTTTTAGCCTGTTTTATACACATTAATTCATAACCACCAGTGAGGCAGGCAGGTAAGGCAGACCATAGTACTCCCATTTTACAGAAGACACCGAGCTGCAGACGGACCAAAGCTTGTTGCCAGGAAAGGACAGAACTAGACTAAATGCCTTGTCAGTTACTCTCCCATCATCCCCTGCTGTTCCTCACGCATCATTCCTTCCTCCCTGTCCCCGTCACGCCAACCCATCCAACATGTGTCAGTCAGTGCAACCCAACCTTGAAATCAATATGCTGTAATGAACATGTTTTGCCTAAGACTGGCTTTGCTCCCCATTTCATTCCTGGTGCCCAGCACAAAGGGCTTGGCACGTAGTAGGTTCTTAGTGAATGTCATGAGTAAATAACAGTGTTCAATGCAGATGCCGATACCATTAATAGGCCGAGAGGCACGTCATGATGTCACAGTACCTTGACAGACTGGGGCTGGCGCTGTCCACTGTCCCACATCGGCACACCGAACTGTGTCAGCTCCTCTCAGCACGAAACCCTCGGCACAGCGGAAGCTACAGCTGGTGTTGTACTGAAATGCTCTCGAGGACCGGGAACAATCCACGCTTCCATGGGCAGGACTCCCCAGCGGCTCACACTCAACAACTAATGGAAAAATCTGTTGTTTGAAACCAGGAAATGCAAGGGCTCAGTCCTTTCTGAGGATAGCCCTCAGAGGTGCTACATCTTGCTACCACATCGTCAGGATGTCCAGAACCCCAAATCCTCGTCTTCCAAGGGGAGACCACCTGGAATACCTCCCCAGGCTCCCCTTTGCCTGGATCACCCCCCTGCCCTTCAAGTCTCAGCTTAGATTTTGCTTTCCTTGAGAACCTTCCCTGCCCACCTTGAGTCGGGGTAAGGACTCCTCCAGTGTGCTGCACAGTCCTGGTTCCCGCACTGTTCACGCCCTATGGTCATCCTGCCACTTGGAGCGCAGTGGGTCATTCATATGTGCCCAGAGGCTAGCAGTGTCTGACACATCAAATGTGGTCTTAAATATTTATCGGAATTATTGGTGGAATTGGCTCTGGGGAGAGCAGATATAGAACAAGCTGACCTTTTAAGGAACAAGCTGGAATAACACAGCTTATTGTTAACACTCTATTACCTAGCCCCATGAAGTGTTCCGGAGTGGGCTTTGTCCCTGGAACACAGGATCATCCCAATCAGACTTCAGCTGCCCAGCGAGTGCAGCCCAAGTTGAGTTCCTGAGCACAATTAAGCCCCAAGTGGCCTCCGTTCTGATAAAGACCGGTTTCCTCGTGCTCTTCCTCGATAAAGCATTTCATCTGCAGGCTATTCCTGCTTTTTTCAGAGTGTAAAGACTACGCTTACACCCTGGGGTTAGGCTTCCGGTTTTCACAGAATCGGGCATATGAGAGCCAAAGATCCTCTAGCGTTCCTCTCTCACTTTACAGATGCGCAAAGTGAGGTTCAGCAAGTTTAAGTGACTTCCCTAAAGTCTCATATCTAGACAGTAGCAGAGCTGAGCTTGCGATCTAGGTCTCCTAGGAATTCTCAAAGCCAACTTTTAATTTTCTGTTACCCTTTTCTTCCTTTCTGCCATGTAAGCTGAGTGTGTGAGGCATTTGTACAGCGTTCACTTTGTGGTATTAAGTAACTGCCTCGCATTGCGTCACTGCCTGTTTTTCAATGCAGTGTTCCTCTTCTCCTCCGTCAAAGGCCATCTCCAAACGCTGCGATGAGTAATCCCCCTCTTTGTCCTAATAGCCGCTATTCTGACTCCTTCTCAAACATAGGACATTGTCCCACAGTTGTATATGCCAGCAGGTCAAGAAGGGGGGAAAAAAGAGGCAGAAATTAAGGTTGATCCAGTACCCAGCTTTATGCTAGGTACTTTATACTTGTCCCTTAATTGTATACTTTTTATATAGTTTATCCTCACCAAAGCACCTTGCAATTCCCAGCTCATTGCACAGATGAGAAAACCACGCCTCCTGGAGGGTGAAGAGCTGGCTCCAGTGTCAGAGCCTAGAGAAGGTCGTCATGACGTTAGGTACCCTTGGTTGTTCCGCTGTGCCATGACTCCTTCCTGGGCAGACGGCGGCTACTAAAGGAAAGCCCTACCCTCACAGGCTGGCAAGGGTGCAGCAAAGTGTCCCAGCCCCGCACTGCACAGCCAGGTCTACACTTTAATTTACAGCTGGAACCATACGCAAAGGCAGCAAAGGGGTGAACACGGTCCACGGAGTTGCCTTTGCACAGCTAGAGAGGACAGCCAAGGGCGGAGACACAGGTCCTGAGTAGGGGAAGACGGTGCCCACAGCTGGAGGGCAGTGGTAGAACTGCCGCTGGCGGTCCGATGGGGTAGGGGGCTCGGGGGGTCAGCCTCACGCCGTTTGCCCTGACTTGGAGCACCAGGCCTCAGGGCGACCCGAATCTCTTACAGGCACAGACTCCTGCCAGCTCTCTTCTTAGTCCTCTGTTCCAGCTGCCTTGACAGGCCTGTCCTGGTAGGTCTTCTGGTGTCGACTTAGAGATAGATATAGATGCCACCCTTTCCACGTGTGTGAAATTTAGGAATGAGGCCATTCTGAACCTGCTTGATGGCTGTGAGCTTTGCGGAAGGGAAGATTTTAAAATTCTGTTTGTAGTAAAATCAGCCTCTTGTTTTTCTAGAGCCTGACACGCTTTTCCTGACCCACGTGTATCCATCTAGCTGAGTGGAAGGCAGGACAGTGAAGGTGTGGCCTTTCGGGTCAGCTTCATCCGTACTCCCAGCAGGAACCGGGCGCAGTGGACAGTTTACCTCCCCAGCCGCCCGCACTCACTTTTGCACACCGGGGCTGAGGCTGTCCACTCCCCCGAGGCCATGCACTGCACCACCTCTGGCCCAACCAGTGCAGACCCCTCGTCACAGCTGAAGCGGCAGCTGGGCTGGTGCGGGGCAGCCTCTGCAGTATGGAGACAGGTCATGTTGCCTCGCTCAGGAGCCCTCAGGGGTGGGCACCGGGTGGCTGAAAACAACCAGAGCAATGGTGTGAGTACCTCGGAAACCTGAGGACATTGTAGCAGCTATCTGTACCTGCCCAAAGTGACAGGCACGGCGACAAACTTGGTTAGATGGTACGTTTCAGTAGCTGTTCGGAAAGATCCAAACCCCCTTACTTTTTATTTACTGTTTTTAAAGAAGCAAGGAAAAATTATCGAACATAATATTCAACCCCTAAGTCCTCATTATTGTACTTTGTTCACTTTGCAATTAACAAGGGGAGAGAGGACCCTCTGTAACGCTTTTGCCCGAGAATCAGGACTTAGGCTGGTCCCCCGCTCTGCAGGTACGTGGAGCTCAGAACCGGTGCTGCTCCGTGGGTTTCATGCAGAGCCTCACTGCTTCCCACGTTTTTGAGTAGAGAGAGCGTGTTCTCCCTTCCGAAGTTCAAGTTGTCAGTGAGGATGGGAGGAATAGGGGTCTACGTACCTTCACACTGTGGGGGCTTATCGGTCCAGATTCCAGAAGCCAAACACTCCAGCTTGTGGGGTCCACGCAGTGTGTACCCTGGGGCACAGTGGAAGCTGCACTGTGACTTGAAGGAGAAGCTTCCCAGAGGGTGGTGACAGCTCATGAGCACGTGTTGAGGGAGCTCAGGTTCTCCGCACTCTCTGACTGAGGGGACAAAATACTGGTTTTTCCATTGCAGGCTTAGACGTGAGGCGATGGAACTATTAGTATAACCCACTTAAGCCCGTCTTTCTAGGTTTCCAACCCAACCTGGTCATCTTGGTCCCTTCGTATGGGCTACATCTTGAGAAATAATCATTCTTCACTGGTTTTTATTTCAAACAAGTAAAATTTGACTTTGCTTTGCTTCTGTTACATTTCCTTTTCACCCTCTAGGATTTTACAAGCAGTTGTTCTAAGAAGAAAGCGTTTTGACCCAGAGTGTGTGTCTAGGAGCACCCCGAGGGGGGCAGGCGGGCAGATGGAGGGGACCCGGGACCCGGCACCCGCCTTCATGTGCCGGAATCTCCGGCGTGGCTCCCTCCCTGCATTGCCGCTGCGGGCGCCCCGCGGCCACAGTGACGACAGCCAGCTGCTCACCGTGTTCACACTCCGGCCCGTAGAAGCCCTGGGAGCAGGAGCAAGTGTAGCTGCCGATGGTCTCGATGCACTCTCCTTTTTCGCTGCAGGACGTTTCCTGGCACGAGGCTGCACGGGGACAGAGGGTCAGAGCGTGCGAAGGGAAGCTGGATTCTTGTTCAGAGCCACAGACTCGGCTCCTCTCGGTGGGACCGAGATAGCTGGATGACAGAAAACTGGCGTCCTGGGGAGTCAGCCTGTTCCCTGTGAAGGGCATCGTGGGAGCCGCTGGGACATTGCATGGCTTCCACTCCAGGCTGCGTTCACTGCTCCTAGGGAGGGATTGCTATGTGTGGACACAGAGGGACAGGCAGAGCCACCAATGGAGTGTAGACAGAAACTCCTCTGTGGTACAAAATAGACTGTGGCTTTTTAACCGAGAATACTCACTCCACTATTCAGAAGCCCCTGTGACCGATAGTATAGTAGATCGATTAGGAACCAGATGTGGGGTCACACACATGTGATCAGAATCCTGGCTCTGCTGCCTGCTATATGTGATCTCAGACCAACCACATCATGGAGCCCAGCGTGTCCACGGTGACGGTCAAAACCCTGCCACCTTTTGTTCATTTCAAACTTATGACCAGAACCATGTGGTAGAGGAGCAGAGGAACCAGATGAGATGTCTAAGACCTACTCGTGGTAAAAGCACACAGTCTCGTGAGGAGATGTTTCACAGGTCTAATATGTGAGCCTTAGGTGGTGCAGAGCCTGGCCAACCTGCCAGGCCCCCCTCACTAAGTCTGCGCCACGTGGGTGACAGACTGGAGAAGGGCCGGCCTTTCTTTTGCAGGAGCCTCTGAGGATGTATGCGCTGCGCAGGGGGTGGAGGGTTAGTGTTGGAGCTGATGCTGTCCAAGCACTGAGGACGCTCGCTGAGGTTTTTACAGGCGAGGTCAGAGCCTGGGCGAGGTCAGAGCTGGGTGAGGTCTGTGGCTAGACTACTTTCTGCTGGTGTTTCCTCTGCGCTAAGCCCTGGCCACACATTGGTCCACTTTGGGGTCTATTACAAGAGGAAATGCATAGGTCACATAGAGGACAATGCTAAATGACCTCTGTTTCCTCTCAACTCTGAGATGCTCTAATTCTGTAAGCCATGCAGGGTTCTGCAGAAGTTCCCGTGACACCCAGAGAGGTTGGTGGAGCTGCACTGAGGAGGCACCAGGAAGGGTGTCAAGTAGAGAAGATACAGGAGGTCGCAGGAGCTGGTAGACAGAGATTTGGTCTGCATCTCCCACCCTATCCACCTTGGCCTGTCAGGGTGTACCCTGAGGCGAGGCGGAAGTGCTTTGCAGTAGCAATGCCTGCCCGCCTTGTGTTCTCAGAGCGTACGAATGTTCTGATTGTAGCTTCCTTGGGATCTCAGGAGTCTAGGAATGAAAAAACAGCTAATATTCTATATCTTACTCCATTTCAGGGTTTCCAAGCAGGTTATAACTTGTTCGTCCCTTTGGAACTCCAAGAAAGAACATAATGATGATTCAGCAAATAAATTTTTTTCGATAGCCTGTTCTGAGGTCTAACACATCCTGACATTTAGGGAATTATTCAGCTTAGTTTCTTGTTGCAGTATACATATCTATTTCTCTTCAGTCTCCTACAGAGAACTGGTGGTTCCCTACGCCCTTTACATCTTGAATGGCAAGATGCCGATCAGCGATAGTGGCTGCCTAGAGCATTGCATTAGTGGAGATCAAAGCCAACTGCACTCAGGTGAAACTGTGCCGATCAGAGATGTCGGCCAGCATTGCAGGTTAGAGGGGCGGCGACATTCATGCCGGTAACTTTCAGTGTCTTTTCCGTCTTTTCATTTTAATTCCTTTATTGGAAATGACTATCTTGCAGATACGGATGTTGAAGTTTGGGTGGGGATCGGAAGCAGTGGCATATTGGAACACCTAGTGGCAGCCAAGATCATCTGACGGGGACAGTGCTAGGGAGGCATTGTCCAGAAAGGGGAGGGTGCCAACTGGGAGAGCAGGTCGATGAGCTAATGTCCTGGTAAAATCCATCCCAGCCTTTGAAGAACAAGTTGTTAATTAATTAATTTGTTTAAGAGTAGATAAATAATTTATAAAATGAGACCTGACTACGTAACAATGCATTTATGGATGTTTTCCCTCAGCTAGGAGGCTCTGGCGAGGAGAGGGATAAATGGAATACTCTCTACGGGGAAGTCTGTTTCCACCGTCGACTGGGGGAGGTGTTTATCATCTACGGAGTTTAGAGCATAGATAGCACAGCGTGACATCTGGAAGATGATTGACTGCAGAGGCAGCTTCAGAGCACCCAGGGCTCCCTCGATCAGGGGGTTCCCTTGCTAGTATTCTCGCTAGCCTGGTGCCATGTGCTACAGGGCTGCGGGCTCCTCCAGACAGGAAGCCATCAGAAAGGTGGGGTCAGATCTGGCGCCAGGTGTGTGGCTCCAGGAGGACAAGCTTTCGCGCATGTCTGCTTAGTCTGGAACTAGGGGAGCTGAGACTCAAACATACCCACAGCATCTCACCTGCAGTTACCTCTTCCTTTTCCTTGTCCTCCAACCCCCACCAAAGTCCAACAGACCTTTAAGATCTGTTGTCACTGAAGGGAGTCTATAAAGCTCTATGATCCTTGGTCATGTTCTCAGATTGTCTCACGAGAATGTAAAGCAAGAAGTGTGGTGGCCTGTGTGGCTGAAAAACACCAACTTTGGAGTCAACGTGAGTTGGGAACTGGCTCTGTCAGTAAGTAGCTTAGAGCCCGAGGCAGATTCCTTACTAGCTCTGAGCCTTCCTCTCATCAGCAAAATGAGAGTAATGGAAGAGGGTGCTTGGTGAGGTTCTCATGAGGACTAAATGCAACTGAAATGAAACGGATTCATGACATATGAACCTATATCGTAACGACACCTAGAACATGTTGATGTTCAATGGGTATTAGTTACAGCCATGTCTCCTAGGGGTGCAACCAAGTTCCCTCTCAGCTCATACTCTCTCTTACGCCAGGCTGTAGTGGTACAAAAAAGCTCTGGACATACATTTCAGGAAATTAAAATTTCCTGGGCATCTGTTTCATCAGCTGTAAAATGACAAGGGTGGGCCATATGATATTAAAATTTCCATCTAGTTTCAAAAGTCCAGTTTTCTCTAATCCCGATCTGTTTTTCAAGGTACTCCCTAACTAACGCTGTTTGATTGACAGCTTACCCTGTTTTGACGTCTCTGATTTTGTGACTGCGTTTCTCAGTGGCTGTATCAACAAACCAGGGGCAGCGTATTTTTTAAACAGACAAATTTCAGAGTAGAGAAGACCCTACCTGTATAGCACAATGCCCGCTTCCTTCTCCAGCACGGCTCATCATTCCACTTGCCGGGGGCCGACAAACTCTTGATGTAGATTTCCACGCAGTCCTGGTTGTTCTTCTTGTTGTTGGGCTCGTTGTCAGCCCAATTCTCAGCCTCCTTCGTGAGAGTCTTTTTGGTTCCCACCCAGGTCCAGTTATTATTGATCTTTCGGATCCCGATCCAGTAGTAAGAGCTATAGTAAGGTATGATGTCATTGAGGTAAGCAATCTCATTTTTATTCTGGATGGCCACTAAATCTGTGAAGTACTTCTGGCAGAAGTTCCGGGAGAAATTCCATGAGTATGCGTTGGTACTGTAATTGTAGGTCCAGGCTGCCACTTCTCTCTGGTTCATTAGTTCTACACAAAAGAAGAGTGAGTGTCAGGTTAGCATCGCTAACCGGAAGGAGGCTCTGAGCATCAGTATGCTTCTGTGTAGTCAGATGAGTTTCTGACCAGAAGACAAATACCCTAAGCATGACTCTTTCATGCTGAATCTAGTTGTTTTAAGGAAAAAGTGTGATTTCCATCTTTTACTTGAAAGGATACGTGAAGTCACAATAGGAAAATCGCCTCTTCTGAGGGTCCTTGGTATTAAGGATTTGGATCATAAGGTACCAGAATGGGAAGGGACCTGAGAAATTGTCTAATCTGTTCCTCCTTTTTTAAAGTAGAACGTGCATAGTAAGTGATTTGCCAGCTCCAAATTAAATGATGTATAAAATGTCTTAATGGCTGCCTCGTATCTGCACGTTCTGCCTCTTCACGTGGAGGATAAGATGTGTTATTATCTAGAGCCTACATGCTGGCCCAGCCTCATCACCTACCATATTTACTTTCTTAGCAAAACAAGTCCCACTTCCAAGCCTTTGCACCTGTTCTTCTGCTGTCTTGGCTGCCCTTCCCCCTTATGCCTGGTAACCTCTTCCTCTACCTTCGCTGATCTCCCCAGGTAGGCTTGGGGTTCCTTCCTCCAGACTCCCACTGTACCTCGACTCTGCCTTCACCTCCCTTAGTGCTGTGCATTGTAATGTCTGTTTCTATGACGTGGTCTACACCTGCTAGATTGCGATTTCCTGATGGCGGTCTCTTTTTCTAGCCCTGGATCCTTAACACTGAGCACAGAGCTCGGTACTTAACAGGCGTTCAATAAGTACTCGTTGAGTGAAATACAGCAGGTCTGTGGCAGAGGCAGGTTAGAAATCAGATCTCCTGATGTGCAGTCTTATACTCATTCCACTGTTCTTGGCCGTTTATCTTTGATAAATCACTTCCTCCATCTCTGCTTACTTATTTGTTAAAATAGAGTTTAAAATAGGCCTTTTAAATAAACATTTGTAATATAAAAAGAAATAAAGAATGTGCCCTATCACATACGAAGGGCATGCACGATGATGCAAAATATCGTTATCACAGCGCGTGGAGCTCACGGGGCCAGAAAGGCCAGTTCCCATGTGAAGAGGTGCACAATGCAAGCAATCAGGCCTGGAAATGGCTCTCCTTCCTGTTATTAAGTCTTTTCCTATTCAGTCTCCCTCTGCCGCCTGCACAAGAGTCAGTTATGTTTGTCCCTTCCTCACTGACACCTTATTGCATTGTTTGGTCATAAGACTTTATTCTAATATTGCCAGGGCTACATTATGACTTTCATGGACTCTAGGTAATTTTGCCTTAGTACGCTCCTTCCTCCATAATAATATATTTAAAACTATATTTTATAGCTGTATTAGCATAAAGCTGAATATATTAGCATTATATACTGAAACATCTTATTTGACCTAGAAGGAAATAATTTTTAATAAGTTAAAACATTTTGGGGTCCCTAAAAGTAATGTAGGCCTTTGCCTACTGTGCCTAATGGATAAATTGGCCCAGGATGTATCCATTTAAGTGCTTCCTGAAGCCTTTCCTACCAACACGATGATGTCAGGCGCATTTTCTTCCAGGAATCCGGGCTTAGACAGCTTTCCCATACCTTACAACAGCTGGCCACCATCTTTAATTTCTCCTACTTGGAGAAGTTACCATAATTACTCGGGGCCATGTTAAGGGTCAGCGTAAGTTTACCGAAGATCAGGACACCGAAGCAAAGCACTTGGGCAGTTTTCAAGACCGCTGTCTGTACTCTCCAGTTCCAGGAGCTTTTCAGGCAGCTAGCCTGAAACAAGAAAAGAAAATCTTTTTTGAGTATTCACATGCAATCGGTGTGGCCAAAAAAATTCTAGTTGATATCATCGTATTGAGTTATAACCCTGCTCGTTTCCTCTGGTGGAGGTAGGTGCAAGCCTGTTCCCTTCTCGTTTCTCACTGCTCTGCCTCTGAGTCGGACCCCGGTTGGACACTACGCCAACACTGTGTCGTTCTTCATTCATTTGATTTACATTTATCGACTAACTACTTTGTGCCACTGACATTTTTCTTTTATAATGCATTTTGTAATATGCATGCAAGAAAAATATCATCATTATTATTATGCAATCTCCCTTTAAGAAGTTGTATGCCACACCCAAGAACAATAGGAAGTCACATGAAAACTCCCTGGTCTACAGAGATAATATCTGACCTGTGCTGTGAGCATCACTAATCGTGCTGTGTTGTGCTATGCCATTCATTGTCATACTGATCCATACTTTGTCTTCTTGCTTTGCTGTTTCAGCATATATCTAGAATACCGTTCAGCGTTTAACGTATATGTATGCATACACATATTTAATATTTATGCGTGTGTGTATATGTGTGTGTGTGTGTGCGTGTGTGTGTGTGTATACACAATTGATGTATTACCCTTGGATCTATAGCAAGTATTATTTCTCATGAGCTCTCTCTGTAGGGATCTCATCAAATCTATCAACATTTTAAAATGTTGTCAGACAAATAAGTTCTAGAAATGCTATCTTATCTAACTCCCTCATGTGGCTCATGAAAATACTGAAGGTTGGAGAGTCTGAAATAACATATTTCAAAATGACAGCAGCAGAGCCTAACTTTGGAACAAGAGCTTTTTCCACTTTACTCTTTTACCTTCAGAAACCTCTTGGCCTCCAAATCCATGCTGCACTGTTGTTGTAGATGACAGAGTATGTGACATGGCCAAGCCCAGCTACTATGTCGGTATGCCTATAAAGCTACCCCGACATGACCACCGACATAAACATAGCTCATTTGCTTTGCAATTGAAGCGTTATCATTCTTCCAGCCAGACTGCTACCTGAAGTCCCTCCTGTATAGAAATTCGGAATTACCACACACACCACACTCCAGTGACAGATGACGTAGGGGAGCGTGTGTGCATGTGAGCTTGAACAAGGCAGCGGGACAGACATAAATCAGTGCAGCTCTCCCAGAGAGTGGGATTATCTTTGAATAAGGAGCCTGGCACTTTTCCATTTAGGAATTCCCGAATATTGGCTTTGATAAATAGGCATATTTCGTATTTTTTTTTATGAGCTTAGACACTAATCAGCTGGTCTCTGCAGAACCTGTGGTCAAACACTGAGAATATCCTAATGTTGGGATTGATGGAGCTGTTTACTTGCACGGGAAGTACGCTGAGAATCTCTTACTGGGGACTTGATCCCATTGTGTTTTCTCTGGATTATGTTGTATCACCAGCTATTATAGTATCACATTTCTGCTCAATACCCACAAAGTACCATTCCAGGTGCTACAGCAGAAATTTTTAAACCAAGATGAGCCCGACTTTCCAGGTTGTTCACAAGCAAGGAGAATTTCATTAGCTCTACATTCAGATTTCCAACTTCCAAAAATATACTTTCCTAAAACCAATCCCCCTAAGAACATGAGTATCTGCCTCCCATTTTACAAAAGAAGTCATGCCTTTTACTAATCTGACTCTTATTAATTATTCAGATGATAGCGTGACAAATCTTTTTCAAGTCCAGGGGTTTCCATTTTTCTCCTTTCGGCAACTTTAATGAAGGATCAATTAAGTTGTTAGATGCTAAATCATTGACTAAATGTTGATGATAAATCACTATGTAATTTGGGGCATATTAACTCGGAAGGAGTTCAAAGAATTGACATTACTGTGATCAAACGGCCATTTCCCTTTACTTATTCATATAAATGAAGTTTCTCAATGTTTAAAGCCTTAAATATGAAATATTAGAATAGGATTGATGCTGACCTTGTCTGATTGTATTGATAAAACTATTCATTCACAATTACATGAATAAGGAAAAAGCCCCTCTTCTCATTTAGAGATGCATCTTCAATAGCATTTTAAATATAAAAGTTTGTTATCGAAATTCATAGTATGTTGATGCGGTCTTATTTAATTATTTACTGAAAATGATTGTCATGCTAACGCAATCAGAAAGGAAAAAATTGAACATGTAGAGACTTAGGGTTTCAAAAAAGTTGGATCTCCTCAATTGAGAGAGCGAGCAAGACAGAGGGGGTGCTGGTTTCAAACACTTTAAGGTTGAGAGGGCTGGGGGAGCACTTCTGTCCAAGGCGGGACATCTAAGAAAGAAAAACGCAGGTCACTGTGCACCCCCTGCTCCCGTCTGACCATGCTTCTCTGTTTTTTAAAGTCACCAAATACCAAGAATCCCGTCTCAGAGATTATTTGCGAGGAGAGCTGTGTGAGACCGTGAGGATCACTGCCAAGTGCGTCTAGCGTTTCTCCAGCCCCTGCAGCAGGCCTTTCGGACCACGAGTGCTCACGGTGGGGCCACCACCCCTCCCCGTCACTGAGACTCGATGCATTTCGGTGACCTGCCCACACTTGCTCACCTGAATATGCTGGGTTAACACAGTGATTCATTCTTATTCTCACAGGGCTCATGAACTCTTTAAAATGTTTGATAAAATCCCTAGTCAGAATTCTTCAAAACATGCACACTTACAATTTTTTAGACAATCTCAGAAGATTCGTGAACTCACTAAGTCCGTCCATGTTTAATGGACCCCAAGTTCACATCTCTGTGTCAACTGGAAGGCACCCTGACGCGCTGGCAGCTGGCAAGGGCTTTGCGTATGGGGGTGGAGGGTGCATGATGCGTAAAAATCTTCCTTTGAGTAATAATTGCCCCTGCAAATCCCTTGGGGTGGGCGGGCCTTCTCACACGTGCTCCTCCTGCTCTGTCTGCGGTGCCTTCTTCAGGACAGTGCAGGTCTAGACTGCTGCAGAGCTAAGGGCTCCGTTCCTAGGAAATCAGAGGACACCCTCTCTGGGGCTCCCGGCCCCCCGCACCGCCAATTTCTGCTTTAATGCTGTCTGCCAGCCCCCTGGGAAGGACTCGGAGGCCGGGTCATTAGAATGACATCCTGGGCCTGTGTCATCCTCCTTGAGGCTGCTTCGTACCGCAGTTACCCTTAATTTTACTTTGA